TGACGGTGATGGGTGCCACATTTCCGCTTGTGACAGTTAGCTGTGCGGGCTGCGTGAGCAATGTGCTGACAAAAACAAGATCGTGCATCAGCTCTGCTCCTCGAGGAATGCCCAACGGGTCGTTGCTGCATTGGGTGCCGTGCGGAATCGTACGGTACCAGTATACAATTTCATCCGCGTTCACTGTTGGAGAAGATGCACCAGCTTTGTACGCAGCAATGTATGGCTTGTAGATATCGCGCCAGGCGTCATGAGGGAACCCACTCGCCCATTGGGAGGACCCGTCATCGCTATGATTAGGCTCGGAGCCGCTGTATAGCAGATTGCAATGCGTCAGTAACCCTCATCGTGTACTAGAAAAACAAGGAAGTTAAAGACGCAAAGAGAGTGGCTGGCACTGGCTTACGAAATGTAATGGCTTTCGCCAAAGTCTGTAACAACAGCGCTTGTTAGCGGATCTTGATAGAAAATCATGTTTATTCTGAGCAGATGCGCGTATACTTACCATTCCAAGTAATAATTTCGACAAGAGCAGGCTTCATGTCGAGAATCTGTTGCCATCGGCGGACTGGCTGCTCTTCGCATATGAAGACCCAGTTCTTAGTATTGAAGTGAGTCGAGAACCACGGCGAGACAGCTAGCAAAGGTGAAATCAGCTCATGATCCAGGGCTGAGGCCTTTCTCTGCAACTTACGTGCCATGTAAGGTCGACCATTCAGACCCTGTATATACCTCTCGTCCCAGACAGTTGTCATTGGCCCGTCGATGACGCTGTTCCCGCCATCTGTAGGCCAAGCATACCACGAAAAAGCGCCGTCAACGCCATACTGGGAACTAGCACTCCCACTTGCAGTAGGGTCCTGCAAATTAGGGATCACCGTGAGCTTCTGGCTGCCCAAAGCACTCTTTACGGCGTTCCAATTGAAGGAATCGCCCACAAAAGTGCTAACGAGAGCACCCCCGTTGAATACAGCCTGAGCTGGATTCGAGGCGTATTTTCCGACAAAGCTAGTGATGTTTCCTGTGTCGCCATTAGACCAATACGCAAAGTCGAACGAAATGAACATTTTGAAATTGAGTTGCTGCGCCGCTGTGTATGCATTGTCCAACTGCTTTGGCGTGTAACTATCAACCCAAGGAGGGGCGCAGTTCAGAGCAAAGCCATCAATACCGATAGCTTGGGCTTGTTGGATCTCGTTCACCCAATCTTGAACAGTGAAGTTCTCGACAATTCCAACCTTTGCATCCCAGAGTCAGCTTGAGTATCACCAAGAAAAAAAAAAATGGAGAGAGAATTGTACCATGAAATGAGCAAAGACTGGCTTAGAGCTCTGTGCGTCGGCGAAAGTCAGAGTATTCGCCAATATTGCCGAAACAGTTGCAAGCCAACTAGCAAACTTCTTTGATGCCATTGCGAATACGAGTTCCTCAGGAAGGTTTTTATATATATCAGAATTGATACCAAATCAAAATATTCTTACCGGTTTAATAAGCCTTTTCAGTTTCCTGCAACTGTGATAGGCATTACAACTATATATATTTCTAATGTTAGTCTCGTCTGCATTGTTCCCAACCTCAGAGACCGGCATTTGGCGGCGGGGGCGCGCCCGAGTTTGTGGCAAATCGAAAATACCACATACCTATATAGGATAGACTCATCATAGAAGCCGACCTTAGTTCTGCGGGGTTATGAACAACGATGGCATCCAGATGATTGCTCAGGGTGTATACACCCCCGGCGATTTCTCGGACTGGATACGAGTTGCTGCATTGCCTTAGGTGCAATGCGCGCCGCGCTCATCAAAATAAGCTTGATCAAAACCTTTGAAGGGTTAAGCCTATCTCAAAAGCCTATTCTCGATAATTGGAGCCAGCATACTCATCTCGCATCAGACATCGAGCTTCCTTTCCCGAACGAAGTTGGCAGCCATCCGTCTGCTAATGTAACACCGCTCCTTGGCCATCGGCCCGAAGAACTGCATACTTCGGCGCATGTATTACATTAGAACTCGGGTTTGGCCTTCGGGTTTGACTGCAACACCAAGCGATACGAAAAATCCGACATATAATGTAGAGTGAGTAGGGTATAGGTAGACCCTAGATGCTTCTCCCAGCAGGAAAAAACAAGGACACCTGGAGGAATGCCGCCTCATAAATCCTTTTTCCAGATGGATCATCAGCGGGGTTGTAGCCAATCGGAGAACTCGGTTATGCAAGATTGCTAGTTGTTGCCGCATAATCAGTGTTACGCTGAGTGAAGTCACACAGGACAAAATGCGTTTAGCTTACGCCTGTGGTCGACGATTCGCTCGAGATCACTCTAAGAAAGCATACCGAGGAGCACAATAGACCAGCCACACAGCGATGAGCTTGGTACTGACAAAAACGAGCCGTTGCTCTGGCATTAGCATCTAGGCTTTGCAGCAGAATGTGTTCATCGAGCTCGGCATGATGGCGTTGGGGGGTGAGGAGTTAGACGAACGCCGCGCTAGTCTCTTAACATGCCCGGGGTTTAGTTCAGCTCATCTGCGAAAGCAGCGAGGCAGTTGCTTACGACGTCAATCGGAAAAAAGATAAGGCTGATAGCCCTCTTATAAACCCCTTTTTCGCCAGTAGCAAAGAACATTGGGGTGACAAGGGCATTACAAAGTGCGTGTGTTCACTTCGAATTTCCAGTTCACTTTGCGAGCATGTAAGCATAGAGCTTAGATCCAGATATCATGGTACTGTAATGTAATGTGTTGTGATGTGTACATAGGTAATTTGAGCAAGGTTATCGCTTGGAGAGATGTGCTTTGTATGGCGGCCCAGAATGATGACATCAAAGTCGTTCCTGGAAGAGAAATAGTCGTCCTTTTATTCCTGGAGCCGCGTCCTTTCCATGTAGTGTTGTTGCTTTACATGTACAAGTTAGCTCATACTCATATATCGTTCAAGCGACTTAACAGTGCTTGAACTTCTTGGCATAAGCAAAACTTACCTACCATGGCTGGAGTCCATCCCCATCTCTTCATATGTTATATATCATTCTTATTATTCGCTCGGCCGTTCGATTCGATGATATTCGGTCGATGAGGCTTCCCTTGCAATGGGAAAGACTGGGCCACGCTTATATTAGTTGACGAATTCTAAGAGCATAGAGAGGATGAATTGGGCACAGTAGATGGGAAAAGAGTCGAGACAGCACAAACAGAGCATACGGTGGGAACAAGTAAGCGAAGTAGCAATGAAGACGAGCGTCGAGAAGAAAACTGCAGGAATTGGATGCCATGCGAAGTTGACAAGAACTTGGAGTTGATGCAGATTGCAAAAGAAAGGAGAAAGAAAAAAAAAAGGTGAAGACAGCGAAAAGATCAGTGGTGGAGGAACAAATGGCGAAGTTGCTCCTTCCGACTTTGCACATTAGGTAGTCAATGTCGCTCTTTACTGTCGCGCTAACAAAAGAAAGTTCTTCTTCTTCATATTTCATTTCACAGTCTGACATGAAATGCAATTCAAAGCCCGGTTCAATGGCCATCTCCAATGAGCACAAAACCCGGTGTGAAGAACCTAAGCCAGAGGATCCGATTAGACAGCTCCCACCCATCCTCAAAATTTTTGAACCTCGGCGGGCATTTTTACTAAATCGTCTAATTTAGTGTTAGGCCTTAGGACCTTTCCAGAATCGGCGGATCGAAGTCCTTGAAGTCTCCTTGAACTTGTGCTTGGCCAGTATGTTGAGAAATCGAAGAGATGAACAAACGCCGTGAGAAAGCAGCTTTCTGTTATAAGAGACATTTTCACGATTTTCGATCGCTTACGGCGCATCTTCAGACCCAAATACACCGAGTAACTTGAATAACTTTTCATGCTTACGAATGCATTATTCTAATGACTTAAAAGTGGTTCATCATGCTGCTTCTGAGTCTCAATACCAAGAACACCGAGCTATTACGCAGCCAACGCCCTCAACGACTTCAGTACCCGCATCTTCTCCATTTCCCCAAACAATCTACCAGACGAAGAAAGAAACAAGGTCTCAACGGCATATGTACTTCAAGGGATTAGCTATTCCACAAGCCTAACGGGCTCAACATTTCCAAAGTGGAGAGAAATTGAGCTTCAAAGTGAAGATATGGAGATGAGGCTAGTAGTGGTATTTCGTGATGGATCTCGGGAGGCGCCGAGATAGCGCTTGGCCCTGAGGGTCTGGATGGCGGTTGCTATGTAGCAGCGCGGGAAATGATTCGCTGGCTGGGACGGCTGACTTGTCTTAAACCCACAGAATCATAGGTCTGAGCCATTCACTACCCAGTATTACGACTATATATACTGCGTCTTCCAAAGTATAGCAGCACTGAAAAACTAATCCAATACACATTCTACTAGCTCCTATCTAGAAAGTTTTTTCAACAGCCATTATCAAATTACTCCCTTGTATCATTGCTCTTACTACACCTGTCCTTGCGTTCCTGAAGTCACTTTGGCGTCTAAGCTACCAGCTCAGCATAAAGCAAAGAAATTCTCATAAAGGTTTTTCTATTTGACCACTCTTTCCACGTAGCTTCCGTGTGCTCGGAGATGAGGAGCTTTCACGTCTCCCATCTTGGATCGATCCGTAGCGGAGATTTAGTGAGGAGGGGCATTTAGCAGGGGATAATGAAGCTCAGGTAAGCCAATATCGACCGACGCTGAATGCTCCTTTATCTCCAAGCCCGCCACCAATCCTCTTGAAAAGCTACAGTAGTTGATAGTGTCTCCGGCCATGACTCAAAAAGTCAAGACATATCTACGCAATAAATACCAATTGAAAGTCAATTCGAAGCAATACCTTAGTATCTGGCATCAACAATCGAAGGCTGGCGGGCCATCTTCGGCAAATCCGTTCCATCACGTGACCGCATACAATGACCTCCGCTATCCCTGAGCCTAACGTGTCTACGTGGTGGTTCTGAGAGGGATCTCGGCCAAACCGCCACGAGTCCAATCACAAACATCCTTCAGACCAAATCTCGCCCAGCATGAGTTACGGCAAAAAAGACGAGGATGCCGACCTGGGCCTGGTCAAGGTGGACCGCACACAGGTCTTCCAAGAAGGTACCAATTCGCCCGCAAATGCAGCTTCATCCCCATTCTCCTCACCCCACCGAGCAAAGGTGGCCAGACGGATGCTAACTCGGAGGCGCAACAGCTCGATTGTTCAACAGCTCGCCAATTCAGCCACGACGATGCCGCATTCTGTTAACCAAGATTGCGCTGCTCCTCTACCGAGGGGAGACGTTCCCCACGAAGGAGGCCACCACGCTCTTCTTCGGCATCTCGAAGCTCTTCCAGAACAAAGATGCTAGTCTGCGACAGATGGTGCTCCTGATCATCAAGGAGCTGGCCAATTCGGCCGAGGATATTATCATGGTTACCAGCACCGTGATGAAGGACACCGGAGGCGGCAGCGACGCAATCTACAGACCCAATGCCATCCGAGCTCTGTGCCGTATTATCGACGTAGGTGGACATGTTGCGCCCCATTGAAGCTCCTGACCGCGAGTTGCTAACGACGAGGGAATGGGATTGGTGAATACAGGCTACGACGGTCCAAGCTATCGAACGTGTTATGAAGACGGCCATTGTCGACAAGAATCCTTCCGTATCCTCAGCGGCGCTCGTTTCGTCCTACCACCTGCTACCGATTGCTAGGGATGTCGTCCGACGATGGCAGAGCGAGACCCAGGAGGCGGCCGCCTCTTCCAAGTCCTCGGGTGGATTCTCCTTAGGCTTCTCTACATCCAGCAGCTCCATGCCCATGAACAGCTCGACGATGGCACAGTACCATGCCATTGGCCTCTTGTACCAGATGCGCTCGCACGATCGCATGGCCCTGGTCAAGATGGTCCAGCAGTTTGGCGCTGCCGGGGCCGTCAAGAGCCCCGCCGCCACCGTGATGCTCGTCCGACTGGCTGCGCAGCTTGCAGAGGAAGACCCCTCTCTCCGACGGCCCATGATGCAGCTTCTCGACGGCTGGTTGCGACACAAGAGCGAAATGGTCAATTTTGAGGCTGCCAAGGCCATTTGTGACATGCGCGATGTCACCGACGCCGAGGTCAACCAGGCTGTTCACGTCTTGCAGCTGTTCCTTACCTCGCCCCGCGCAGTCACCAAGTTTGCTGCGCTCCGAATCCTACACAGCTTTGCCTCTTTCAACCCCACCGCTGTCAGCGTCTGCAACACCGACATTGAGCTCCTAATCTCCAACTCCAACCGGTCCATTGCTACCTTTGCCATCACTACACTGCTCAAGACCGGCAATGAGGCCAGCGTGGACAGGCTTATGAAGCAAATTTCGGGCTTCATGTCTGAGATTACTGACGAGTTCAAGATCACCATTGTCGAAGCCATCCGTACCTTGTGCTTGAAATTCCCCAGCAAGCAGGCCGGTATGCTGACCTTCCTCAGCGGCATTCTCCGTGACGAAGGCGGCTTCGAGTTCAAGCGCGCGGTTGTGGAAAGCATGTTTGATCTGATCAAGTTCGTCCCTGATTCCAAGGAGGATGCACTTGCTCACTTGTGTGAATTCATTGAAGACTGCGAGTTTACTAAGCTGGCCGTCCGTATCCTGCACCTCATCGGTCTCGAGGGCCCCAAGACGGCCCAGCCTACCAAGTACATTCGCTACATCTACAACCGTGTTGTGCTTGAGAATGCTATTGTCCGCGCTGCCGCTGTCACAGCCCTTGCCAAGTTTGGCGTTGGCCAAAAGGACCCAGACGTCAAGAGCAGCGTCAAGGTGCTGCTCACGCGCTGCCTGGACGATGTTGATGACGAGGTTCGAGATCGAGCTGCCTTGAATCTGAAGCTAATGGCTGAAGAGGATGACGAGATGGCTCGAAACTTTGTCAAGAATGGTCAGTTTTCCTTCTTTTCTCTTGTTAATTGATTGATTCGTAGTGCATGGATACTAACGCTGTAACGCCGCTAGACAACATGTTCTCGCTCCCCTTCTTCGAGCACCAGCTGGTCATGTACGTCACGTCTGATGACAAGTCGGCATTTGATGTACCATTCGACATCTCCAAGATCCCTGTGGTGACGCGAGAGCAGGCGGATGCCGAAGACAGGACCAAGAAGCTTACTGCCACGGCTCCCACACTAAAGGCGCCAAAGGCTGGCCCGACCAAGACTTCAACAAGCGGTGCAGAGGCAGCGGCTACTGCCAGCGCCCAGGCACAGCGATACGCCCAAGAGCTGATGCAGATTCCCGAGATGAAAGAGTTTGGCAGCGTGCTCAAGTCGTCGCCCGTTGTCGAGCTCACCGAGGCTGAAACTGAATACGTCGTTAGCGTTGTTAAGCACATTTTCAAGGAGCACATCGTCTTGCAATACGAGGTCAAGAATACTCTTCCTGATACCGTTCTAGAAAATGTATCGGTCGTAGCATCACCTTCAGACGAGGAGGAGCTGGAAGAAGTATTCATCATTCAGTCCGAGAAGCTGGCCACAAATGAGCCCGGCAAGGTCTACGTGGCATTCAAGAAGCTGAATGGGGAGGCGTCGTTACCCATCTCAACCTTTTCCAACGTGCTCAAGTTTACAAGCAAGGAAATTGATCCTTCAACAGGCGAACCCGAAGATACGGGCTATGATGACGAATATGAGGTGTCGGAATTCGAACTCAGCGGCAGCGACTATGTCATTCCTACTTATGCTGGCAACTTTAGCCATCTCTGGGAACAGGTCGGTGCCGCTGGAGAAGAGGCAGAAGAGACGCTGCAGCTGAGCAGCATGAAGAGCATAGCCGGTAAGAAAGCTCCCTTTGGACTCTCCCCATTATCTTTTGTCATAACAGTGCTAACGGAAGCAAAAAATAGAGGCAACCGAGCAGCTGGCCAAGATACTATCCCTGCAGCCGCTCGAAGGAACCGACGTCCCCGTCAACCAGAGCACACACACTCTCAAGCTTCTGGGCAAGACAGTCAACGGCGGCAGAGTGGTGGCGAATATTCGCATGGCATTCTCGTCAAAATCTGGAGTTACAACAAAGATCACGGTCCGAGGCGAGGAAGAGGGCGTGGCGGCTCTTGTGGTTGCATCTGTGGCATAAATGTAGGGAAGCAGGCGTTGAGGGTCATAATGTGTATCGGTGGTTAGACAAACATCCTCTGTCAAAGTCTTATTAGTATTTGTTTTCGTTTCTCTTTTTTTACTCGCTCTCGAGTGGCAGACGGCAAGCAAAAAATTATATATTTGATATACACTGATATATATATATACTGGGTACGTGTTTAAGAAACAAATGTGTTATGTGCAGCATCTCGTCTCCAGGTACCTTAGTATTGTACTCACGCATCTAGTACCTATGATGTAAAGTCTGAACTGCTGAACGCTTGTTTTGAGTAGAATCTGTTAGTCATCGAGACTCATTTTCTTGCTGTTATTGAATCACAGTTTTATGATCTTGAACAGGTACACATTGATAGACTGGCCATTTGTACTGTTCTTGTTATGCTACGTAGACTACATAATAAGCAGCGGTGCTGAGGATGACAAGATGACTGTGTCGTTTTGTCTATTTCAAATGGTTCTTGTGTGGTGGCAATCTCACTCAGCTTGCTGCAGCTATAGCCCCCTAGCTCAGAATGGCACTCTATAAATTCTAAAGTTGTCGATCGCGATATATTGACTGGTAGATCTCCAAAGCTATGATGCAGTGTTTGAAACAAGCACGAAAAGAGAGCTTGCTTTTCTTTTTGTTGGGACTCTACGACGCGACATGATTACGTCACATGATGGCATCCTCAACCTTTTCACTCCCAACCGCTGTTTTGAGGCATCACACGGGAGCTTATAGGGTAAGTGAAGTGAGCTGAAGGCGCATGACCCCGCGTTATACTGTGTTGTGCAAGGGGGAAAACATCAAGGAGTCCGGCGGATATCTGGCGATCTAGACGGAGCCAGTACTGTTCATATGAATAACAGGAACTACCTCTTGATAATTGCCACTATTCTTTTGTCTTGTCAGCTTATTCCAATTCGCAGAATGTAGCTAATACTGGTGGAGGTATGGGCAGTGGAAAAATATAAAAATACGCGGTACTACTAGCAATTAGACTGAGGGTCCGGTACTAATGGAATGGCGCTTGAAGAGGCGTCCCCAGCAGTCAGCAGATTAGCGACGGATGCTGTGAGACAGCCTATGCTCCAGCACCGATAGCGCCAGAAGCACTAGCGATGGCTTGCTGCTGCGAATCCACCAGCCCTGCTTAAAAGACGCCACCGACGATGGCGGCGTCATCTTCGCGCTCCCCCAATGAATGTCTCAGCCAGCATGTGCTAAACCCGTGGGGGGGGGGAACGAAAACAGGCTGCAAACAAGAAAATTCAGGAGAAACGGCAATAAAGAAGTGACAAAGAAAACAAAGAGACGTGAATTTGTAACACACCTCACTACCACGAGATGCATTGGGGCTATGATGAAGTGAAACACAAGGACAAGAGTACGCGTAAGGCGTCCGCATGAAGACTTTCACGTGCTGATGCCTTTAATTGTCAATCAACAATCAAGCCATGGATTCCTCTTTCGCTCTGCAGGTGGGGCTCGACAGCAGCTTTAGCGGCTCCCTCTAGCGGCCTTGGGCAGGGTCACAGTGATCCTGGGGGCTGACTGAACTGTTTGGGCTCCAGCGCTGTGATGAGATTGTCCAGAAGGGGGGCAGCCCCAAGGAATTCAGGTACAGCGGGCTGGACGGGGCTGCATTCGGCCTCGTGTACTCCCTACTGCGCAGTACTTGGAGCGACGTACATCCGCAGCACCCTGCTATTAGGAACTTGGCAGCGACGTAGACTCTCCAAGTGTTTTGCAAGTAGCAGTACCAGCCCTCCAGCGGTGCACTGCTGTATCCTCGTACCCTTTCGGAGTACGGAGCGCGGCTAGGCGGCGAGGCCAATCTCCCATTTTCCTCCTATCGTGTCTTTTCCTGCTCTGCCAGTGTTTTTGTCAGCTTTGAACCGCAACGATTACAACAACGATAATCTCGCCCTTTCTTTCTAAAATCACCTCCCTACGGCCGTTCGTCTCGCCTCGCTCTTCCGTGAGCAGAGTGAGCAACGCAACGACTCGACAAAGCCGCTGGCGTGATGAACGCCATACAGCAGAAATGCCGCCCGAAGCATCAGGTCCTGGTGCTCAAGTGCTATCCGCGAACCACAAAGGGAGCTGTTGATGTCAAGCCCAACAGCAGCGAGCTGAGCTATCTCCTCTACTACGCGACCAGCCGACGGTCCAAGATCCAGAAGATTGGCGCTTTTCTGGAGAAGAAGACGGCCAGCGATGTCTGGCGAATGCGCATCGGGTACGTGCCTTGCTTTTGCCTGTCTGTGTTGTTTAGTCCGGGGCATCCGCCCTGGTGGCGATGACGATATCGATCCTCGACATCGATGCTGGTGACCCGTGATGATGGTGACGATGGTGGTGAAGCGCGGAAAGCTGACTGCTCTGGCATTGCTTCGTGTGTGTAGCAATGTGCAGGTAACTCTCGGAATCCTCGCTGCGCTGGTCGAGAAGTCGCCCAAGGATGCCGTCCTCATCGCGCCGTGCATCCTCAAGATCCTCGACCTGATCCTGCGATCCAACGACATCACAATGATCGAATCCTCTCTCCCTACGTGGGAGGCCTTTTGTGAGCACCACGATGCGTCCTCCCTCTTCGCCGACCAGGCATACCTCAGCCACTACGTGTCTGTTGTACGATCCTACGCGCAGCTTGCCTCAACGCAACATATAACAAAGCAGGGCGCCGCGAGCCGGCCAGTCCAGATGCGATGGAGGAACGCTGGATTGGGCGCCATCAAGTGCATAGCGATCAGCGATGCCCTGTCTTCCGTGAGCGGACGCCAGATCGACGTCATTGTGCCCATGATATTGGAGAACCTGTGGACCCAGGACGAGACGCTACTCGATATACTGCTGGACCGGGTAGAAGTGGAGGAAAAGGTTGACACGGAGAAGCTTCTGCGGCGCAGGACGAGCGTCGCCACGGTTCAAGCCCCGGATTCAGGCGGCGATGCAAACCCACTTGCTATTTCAGGAACCGCCAATGATGTCGACAAGATGGCCGAGGAAGACACTGGCGTCTTGGCCATGCAGTGCCTCAAGAGCATATTTGTCGTGCCGTCTAGGCTGCAGATCCATTCGGGTACGGCCGCCCTGCTTAGATTCATCATGGAGCGCGTAAAGCAGGGAGAAAAAGTCATGACCAGCTCAGACGCCGAGAATGGATACGACCAGGGCTGGGCAATCAACATCTTCAGCATCATTGCCCGCTGGGCTCCCGTACAGGACCGATATGTCATTCTAGTGATGGCACTTGACATGCTCACCCACACCCCCATGCGGGACGACAACCTGGACCAGCATATAGCCCTGACGGCCATGATTGAGTCATTGCTGAGGTCCGACATCAATCTTATCGGCCTGAGCGTCATGGACGTTCTTTTTGGTCTCATCAAGCAAATTAAGAAGCTCTTCGCGCTGTCAAATATTGGAAGCCGAGCAGAAACTCCTAGCGAAAAGGTGGCGACCGACAGCGATGCTGACCAGAGCCCCCAACAAGTGCAGCGCAGGGCGCTTCTGGGACGGCTGGAGCAGTGCATTGGAGACCTTGCTAGTCACATATACTACGCCGACCAGGTTTCGGACATGATTGCTGCCATGGTTGGCCGACTAAAGCCCAACCGGTCAACGAGCGCTCCGTCAACGCCACAGGGCGAGAAGACGGAGGGCAACGAGCAGAGCAGCAACGCGTCACCTCCCTCAGCTACCGCCACTGCGGATCTGGCCGAGGGCCAGGCGTCTAACCCCGCGGATGTCTACTTCTCCTACACATCAGGGCGCATCTCAGCGCTCCGTATTGTCAAAATCATTCTTCATGTCGCAAACCCCAATGTTAGGATCAGCACCAACGCCGATTTGGGCCGGAGCCGAGTGCCAGCTCAGGTCTGGGAAGGCACTCAATGGCTTCTTCGCGATCCTTCGGGTCTGGTACGGAGGGCCTATGTCAATGCCTTGCTCACCTGGCTGGATCTAGAGACCACTCCCGCGGACCTGCTAGCCAGAGACGAGGCGCTTGAACCTCACAAGTCTACAGCTGCGGGCATTCTCGCCGCTGCAAAAAATGCCCGCGATCTCCCCAATAGTGCCCGGCGCGTCGTATCCAATGCCTCGAACAAGGACCGCCAGCCCCGGACCCGGCGTTCGCAGTTCCTCGCGCAGCTTCACTTGGCCATCTACGACAACGCCCTTCATTTCGTCGAGTTTGACAACGACCTTGGCTTGCTTCACACGCTGCTGTCCAGGCTTGTGCTACGTCTTGGTGTCAATGCCGTTAGATACGGCGTGCCCATGATTTACCGCCTGCAAGAAGAAATCTTGGCAGTCGAACAGCCCATCCACAAAGTGCGAATCGCTGCCGTGTGCCACGGCTATTTCTGGATTCTGACCGATAAATTTGAGTTTGAAGGGTCTGCAGTAGGACGAGCGATCGGAAACGAAGTTGCCCGACGCAAGAACAAAGGCTTTTGGGTACCAGGCATTCAAGTCCCGGCGCTGCCCATTGACCAGATTGGCCCGCTGGGACAGGCGGCGCCTCCCCCTGAATGGGACCTCAGCCTTCTCGAGACGGAAGAGCTCTTGCCCTTTGATGACAGAGCTTCGCTCATCCAGTGCATCGCTGTGGGCTATGAAGAAAACACGTCATGGCCGCCAAACAGTCCGTCCGCTTCTCCCGGCCGAATGCTTTCCGGTCCTATTCTCAACATCCCAATGAGTCCCGGAACCTCGTCCACCCCGTTAGCCCCCGAGAGATCGCTGGAACTCCCAGATACGTACCGCGAACAGATGATGACGGAGTGGTCAAGAGAACAAGTGGCTGCCGCCTTGGCTGCCGAGGGCAAGACGGAATCGATCAATGGCTCTCGTACGGGAACTGTGGCCACCACTGGTCTCAGGAACCTGACCATCAGCACCGCTGGTGGCAACAATGGCTATCTGCCGTACTCGCCTTACGGTAGCCAGCACAACCTGCGACCGCATTCATCTCAGGCTCA